CTATTCAATTAGTTTCATTTGAGGGCCGGATTATCGAATTGAAAATTTGAAGGGGGCCAAGGCGGTGGGGGGCCTATAAAATAAGAAATTAAATTTAAATGCAAATTGAGCAGTAAAATGAACTAATATTACCAACACCAATATCAATAAAAGGTTAATATTAGTGCTGTCTGTCAGTCGATTAAAAAAAATTAATTAATCGCACATATTTCTGTAATCGTGATTAATTTAGTTTTTGACTGCTTTTATTGTCCTCATTTGTAGGTCGCTTTGGATAAAAGCGTCTGCTAAATAACTAAATAAAATAAATAAATAAATAAATAAATAAAATTGCATATATATTGTCATAATTTCACATTGAACCTCCAAATGAATGTAGAAACAACATAAAGGTGGTATATTTTAAATATGGCGTCTCTTTACTAAGTAGCCTATTATTAACAAAGGCCAGTATTTTTGATACCGATACTGCTACTGATGTCTCTATTAAATGCATTTCAGTCCAGTGATTTCTCTTTTTCTTTTGTTCTGTGATTTACATCAATGACATTCTTCATCAGATTTCACTTTAAAAGCAGCGCTGCCTCTTTAAAACCTGATGCACATGACGTGGATCTGACACATATCCGATTTTCTCCCAACTCTTTTTGGTCAATTAGGACTTTCTAACTCATTTAAGACTGTGACTTAAGTGGTGACTCATTTATTGCACCAAAACTGCACATTTTGACATTTGTGTGTTTTTGTCCGTTGAGGCACTACTGGCGCACTGTTGGAAGCGGCTCAGCGCATGCGTACAGCAGAACGCGCAGCCTTTCAAACTATACTCCATTTGATAATCATCTTCATCCAGTGTCTGCGCTATTTCTTGCCAGAAGTTCTAAATGATAACACTGCCTTTATACTCGTTTAAACTAGAGTTGTGGATATCTCATAACCAGTGTTGGGGGTAATGCATTACAAGTAACGCAAGTTACGTAATCAGATTACTTTTTTCAAGAAACTAGTGAAGTAATGCATTACTTTTTAATTGACAAGAAAATATCTGATTTACTTTTTCAAATAAGTAATGCCAGTTACTTTTTTTTCTCATGTATTGACTGACAGCTTTCCTGTGATGAGAGAAATCGGGAGTAAGTGCAGAGGCGTTGTGTGCACTGTGTGAGCATGTTACTGTAGTTCTAGACTAAATGTCAACATTCCCCAACACTGCTCATAACCCCCTTACACAAGCGCTTGTCAATGCTGCCGTCTATTGATGTCGCGGTCTCCAGTAGATTGTTGTTGTTGCATCTCTTCCTTCTCTTTTTCGGGTGTGAAACAATGGGCCGGACCAGTGTTGCCACCTTGTGGACAAACGAATTAGTGCAAAAACAATTCAAGGCATATGTGCGACCCAACCGAGCGGCAACCTCCCGCTCTCTCTCGTGAAGCCAACAAGGAAGTTACTTAAACTGTAATTCATCAGCTGGCCGCTAGAGGCTGGCTGCAAAAGGGAGTCAATCCCATAGACTCCCCATGTTAAAATGCCCAACTTTACAGCAGAAAAAACCCACTTTTGAGCTTCAAAAACTATCTTCGGAACCCTACGGGTGACGTCACGGACACTACGTCCATGTTTTTATACAGTCTATGGACCCAAAGCTATCTCACGGCCAATTCGTACGTATTTTACGAGGTGGCTAGTTCGTACGACCTCACTCGTACAATTTTGTACGATTTCTGTGACCGTTAAGCTTAGGGGCGGTGTTAGGATGGTCCTTTGTACGAATTCCAATGAATCTGCCACCTCGTAAATATGTAAGATTTTTCACCAATCATATGAATTTGTACAAGTGAGGTCGTACGAATTCATACAAATTAGCCACTTTGTCAAAAATGTACGAATTGCCGTGAGATCGGGTTGTGCGACCTGCGCATACTCTTCCCACGGGCCGGATGAAGATGATTGGTGGGCCAGATTGGGCCCGCGGGCCACCAATTGAATAGCCCTGTTCTAGAGGCTGAACAGTATATCATGAGTCCCTCTCTTCTGTAATACGGTGGATCGTCTTAATATAGTACATCCCCACCTTCAACGATGCTCAATATTTGTATTTGTAGCTCCTGCCAACAGGAACTGTTTGCAAGTGGTGTTTGTTTCCTATAAAAGCATGTTAATTCAGAGGCGGCCACAGTGTAAACTAGCCTGGCGTTTTACAGATGTAGCCTGTTAAACTAAATCACTGTACCTGCCTGTTCGTTTCATATGGCTACGGGCAGGATATCGAGCCAAGTCTTAACGTGTGTGGATATATATATGATCTCTGTTATTGCAAATTTATTTTTAACATTTTGAAAACATTCTGCCTGCCAAATTGGTCCTTCATTATGTGGTGTTCATTTGCAGATTTTAAATATTATGTCTAAAATTAACTGCCTTGAATGACTTGGTGGGGGAAAACAGTTTTTTTTTTAAATTATAAAATTACAAATTAAATATGTACTCATACATATTTATAATAAAATGGAGGAAACTGTGCAGTTACTGTAAGTATTTTTAAAATGTTCTTTATATTATTTGTGAATTTTTATTTATGAAATTGATGTTGTGGTCACACAAATTAGTTATTTTATGAAATAAGATTCTGTATTTTCATTTTTGAACAGTGTGTATGTCTGAATTTTTTTTTTCATGAACATTTAATGACATCAAGTGACAATAATAAGGGTGGTTGTATTGCCATCAAGTAGCATGTTGTCATATTTAGATGTATTCAGTTATAAGAGACAATGCTAATATTTAAATAAGTGCAATGCATTTGTGATGTGGGTGTGAAGAGAGAAAAAAATATTTACACAAGAATTGGTAATGAGCTTTGAGCCGCTGGGTATGCCTGGATAATGTTTAATGCCTTTCATAATTAACATAGCAAAAACAAACCATAAATTAAGAGTGTTATTCAAATTGTAGAATGTGTTTCACTTTCTGAAGCATTTAAATATTCAGTTGAAAGTCCTTTAAGGTATATTGTGGTGCTATAGATGTTTTCCCCCAACAAGTCCATATGTCACATAATTCGATGCAAGCAATACAATACCATTGTTTATAAGCTTACCTTACCTGTTTATCATGTAACTGTGAAACTGTACATCACTAAGCTTCACGCTACTCATGATTTAATATATTTAAACTGCAGTTAATAGTTTTTTAAGTAGTTTGCTACACTGCAAGGGACTGACAGTTTACACTGAAGGCGTTTAAAAGGGCAACAACTTTTTGAATAAATACTGCATTAAACTTGAACCAGAGACACATTACTTGTGTCTCAAGTAAATGAATCTTGATTTAAGAATGTTTAGATTTTTAATAGAAAACAAGTCTGAAGGAGAAAATAATTTTTTGCAATGAAGTTGACTTTGCGCTGAAATTAAATATCTTGCACATTCCATACATTCCAGACTTTTGATACATTCTAACGACAGCATTCTTGATCTGTTTAAACAAATACCTACAAGCAGGATCACAGAGCCGCCCAGAGCCACTGCCAGGCATACATCTGCGTGCCGTGTGAAACCAGTGAGTCACAGAGCGTGATAGTGGTTTGTCACATGCTCTTCTTCACACACCCGGCTGTCAGGTACCAAATAATGTATCGCCTCTTACAGGAATCCCTCATTTGAAGAACAGAAAGGCTGACTCATTCACACACGCACACTCATACCAAGATAGATGCACAGTGCCAGGCATATGTTGTGTCTCTATGAGTAAGAAACTGAAAGAAGAGATGCACACCTCCACATTATAAGCAGCTCTCCTCACATCACCTCAGGGTCAGTGGGGACAGGCTGCAGCATGCCAACCGACTAAAAAGGATGGAGAGGTAGAAAGAAAGCAGGAGGGAAAGAAGCGTGCACATATGCGGAGAGGGAGACACTCGGCATTCACGCCCCCCTCCGAAGACTCATGACTCACAAGGGGTGAGCAGCAGCATCACACCCACCCCTTCCCTCTCCAGTGCCAGGAAGAGCCGGCGAACCACGCGTCTCCAGAAGAAGGAAAACAGAGGAAGGCAGTGGAGGAAAAAAGTTGGCCCACACGACTGCAGTGATGTCACGAGCATGTGACCCTTCTTCTCCAGTGACAGTGTTCTGAGGGAAAGAAAAAAGATTTTTTAAAGGCTTGTGCCTCTTTGGGTTTGTGTGAAGGCTCTGCTCACCTCCCGAGCAACCACAGAACCGCAGAAAAGTTCGGCTCGGGATTTTTGCACGGTGGCACGTAAATGGTTAACTGTCGCCGGTCAACTTCAGATTTGAGGACCGCACCAACTAGTAAGTAAGCTTCAACCACACTATCCTCTGCAGCGAGCTTGGCTCCGTGCTGTCCAATAAGGCGATAGATTTTTGCATTTTTTCCTAAACCAGAACTGGTCATTACTTGTGGTCATGAAAATAGTTGATACAAAAACGCATTTTTTGTGGATGTTTTTTCCTTTTTTGCATCTTCCCCTGGGACGCCGCGTGCTCTCAACCTAAGAGGCGTCAAGGGTCACCGAAAACCACAGAGAAGCAAAATTTGGGCGACCATGGCATCCAACAGCCTCTTTAGTTCTATGACCCCATGTCAGCAGAACTTCTTCTGGGGTAAGTGCCCGAGAAAACCCTGTTTTTGACCATGCGGTAGAGTGTATAATAAGGATCTACGTTTTGAGAGGCAACAATCATGTGTTGATGTTTACAAACATTCAGCTAGGCCAGCCGTCGGAAAGCCTGGCTGCATGCAGGAACCGATGTAGGAAAGATCGGGTGCTGAAGTGTCATTTTCAGCGTAATGCATGCTTTTTGGGATGTGCATCATAAAAGCAGGGGTGTGAAATCTAATATCAAATAAATTAAGTGAATATTTGACATTGACTGTTAGGTTAGTGGGTGTGTACAAACTGAAAGCCCAGAAGCGTTACAGTTGAGAAAGGCACCTTAAAGTCTTAAAAAGTTGAGAAATGTACTAGATAGTCTTTGCAAAATGTATTTAATTAAAAATATAGTGTGTGCTTCTTTACTATGCATCTTTCTCAGACTGCTTGCCTGCATTTATATATATATTATATATATTTTATTTTATTTTATTTATTACTGTGCCATTGAGGGCTCCTGATATATTTATTTATTTTTAAATCATGCTCACTTTGCTGAAAATCATATTCTTTTTATAATTTATTATGTTTGTTGACACCATGGTGAGAAGAAATATACTATATGTATACTATATATATCTCAGGTGTGTTTGATTAGGGTTGAAGCGAAACTCTACAGGGCTGCGGCTCTCCAGGACCGACGTTCGCCACCCCTGATATATATAAGAATGTCTGAAATTTAAAAAAAGCGAACTAACTAACAGGCAAGCACGAATCTATAATGTGCATAAAGAAATATGACTTTCTCATGTCATGGAGGAAAAATAAGAGAACCCATTCATTCTGATGTATGGGTTTTGCCGAATCCTCCAAGAGAAATGTTGTAAAGCTGTTTTCAGGTCTGAATGTCTGCTTTGCAAACACAGCTGTGCGAGGCCTGTTCCCTCAGCACGCGTGCTGTTCTCTGCCGTACGCGAATCCGAGAGCCACTTGCAGCAATCAGTGCCTTCTATTAGCATGTTAACCTCTGATCCTCGGCATGCTCCCAGGGGTGAGACTAGACCAGGATGAGAACAGGATGGGGAATGCTTAGCACTTGCTGATGGGGAGCATTTCTTGATTGTGGTTAGTGCAGATGCACGGTAAAAGCCCACCTGAGACCCTCACTTTGTTCAAGAGGTACAGCAATATTTTTTATGCTCCGAGAGTTTTAAAATAGCCATATTTTGATTTAAAGCAACATTTTAGATTTGGTGGATAATTGCATTCTGATACCAGATCTGTTTAACCCTCATGATCTGTTTGGGATATTGGAGACAGCCAGTCCCGTCTGATAGCTCAAAAAAATTACTTCAACTTGATAACATGCTTCATATCTCATTCATGAAAGAAATTACTATTGTATGTGTTCTTAAATACTCTAGATATAAAACATGTTGTTTTATAGTATACTTCTACAATGTTTTTAATGTAGAAATATTGTTTTTATTTATTTATTTTTAAGTTTTGTTGACTTAATTTTGTGACTTTGTGATTCAGATTTAAACCTCTTTTTTGTGTTATCTGGTTTATAGATTTTGATCAGGTCAGAAGAACATATTAGAAAAAATATGGTGATGAAAATAAAAGGCTAATTTTGAAATTACTAATATTATTTTAAACATACAGCACTGAGGTCTCTGTAAAGTTTAAAGTGTATGTGACACATTTTGATCAGTTTAACTTAATGCATTCAACATTTTACATATTTGCCAGTGTATTTAATAAACACATTTATATATTTTAACTAATTTAAAATTAGATTGTTTTAAACTTTTCATATTAGTGTGAGCTGATAGATCTCACGACCAGTGAAGAAGAAGGCAGCAGAAAAGAAACCAGACCCAAACAGACACATTATATTTCATTCAGGCTCCACTATTGAGAGATTTGGATTTAATTAAGTAGAAAACATTCTCTGTAACGCTGCCTAATGGCAGATGGGTGTGGAGTAATTGTCTACATGTGTGGCATGAGACAGACTCTCTAGGTTTCTCCAGGGCATATTTTGTTGCTCATCATCAAAACCGAGCTATACAGTATTGACTATTATCCCATGGTAGCAATTATCATTTAGCAAAAATATAAGGGAGATAAAAAAAAATTTTTTTTTAAAACTAAGACTGATGAAAGAAAAGAAGACGGTTTAGTGACTCTAAGGACTCAAAGTCCATAAGCATTCCAGAGAATCCAAGAATCCCAAATAACTTGTGAGCAACATCAGACGAGTATTAAAAGGCAGCTTCTGTTGCATGCGTCGTCTGCTCAGATCCCACCGGCCGCCGTCATTCCTGAGACATCTTAAAAGCAAACCAGACTTACTTTTTCCAAAGCAGTGCCAGAGCAGGGAAGCCCTCTCATCAATAGGTAATTGAAGCGAGGGGAAAATCTCTGACCCTGAGCTGCAGCTTCTGTGAAGGAGAGGACCATCTAAAAATATCACCAAAGCCATATTCATTTAGTGCTATTTAATTGTAGCTGGCGAGCAAACATGTAATTTCGACAGCAATTTTTAGATATTGAATGGTCCTTGGGGTGTATTCATTCGCTAATAGGCAGGTAGAGTTTTGTGTCTACACTGTGCCTTTTATGAAAGGACTTTGAGTCTATAACTAAAAATAAATTATAAATTTAAATCAGTACCAATATCATTCAAATTAGTGAGGCTGGTTTGGTTTTGAGATGTCATATGACAGCCAGTGATGGGATCTGAGAAGTTATCTATCTATCTATCTATCTATCTATCTATCTGTCTATCTGTCTATCTGTCTGTCTGTCTGTCTGTCTGTCTGTCTGTCTATTTACTTATATTCTCACTAAATGATAACTGCTACCATGAGATTCTTGACAAGCACAGCCTGTAAAATCTGTAAAAATGTAGGGTCACTATCCATTCATTTTATTTATTTATTTTGCGTGGCTTGAATTGAAAAGTGAAAAAGAAAAAAAAGTCACATGACAGGAGGCAGTGCCTCGACATCGCTCTGATTGGCTGGTTACCATGTCAGTGTTATGATGCCAATCTGTGTTCTTTTAAACATTATGATTGGCTCATTATGTTTACAATATTGCATATTAATCATGTTTTTAATTTAAACATTTTTTTTTTTTAAACAATGTAGGAAAGTGTTTAAAAACATTTAAACGTGAGAACTGAGTTTTTGATGTATCTTGGTTTCTTGCTTTCAATAAAAAAAATGTTAAAGCGACAGTTCACCCCAAAAATAAGTTCAAATGAGTAAATGATGACAGAATTGTCACCAAAATATTATAGTGCTTGTTTATAGTGTAAGATAAATGGTGTCTATGAAAACATCAGATGCAAATGTAACATTAATTTCCATTTCAGAAGTCCACAACATGCTTTAAAATGATGGATATTATGAAAAGCGCTATATAAATAAATTTGCTTTGCACTTTTCATAATATGACTTGGACTTGACTTTACAACACCACTGAAATTAGTATGAGCTGAAATTATATGTGATGATTGTATGTGTCCAAAACCTAAGATTCACATGAGAGGTGATTAAATAATGAATTAGACAGATAAATAATAAATAACGTCTGTTAAATTTTGATTAACATGGGTGGGATGTATTATTGTGTGCGACACCAGCCTTTGATCCTCCAGATGAAGCTGGTAGGAACTGATGAATGAGAAAAGGAAGAGGTAATTTGATTAATGCACTTAGTCATACAGCTGAAGAGCATGAAACCGATCTCTTTTGTCGTGGTGGCAGCATATGCACAGACTGAGCGCCGGAAATGACAAAGGCTGGACAGACAGCGTCATGATGCAACAGGTACCATCTCTTAATTTGGTTCAATTACCTTCCCACACACCCCCTTAAGGGCAGAGGTTTTAAATGGATCAGTTGCACACCTGAAGAGTAGTTTGTTGGCACTGTGATGCCAGCTCTGGCTGCGGACGCCCACACAAGCCTAATGCTGTAATCTGAGCGGCCCATTGACACGAACAGGAAGAAGTAAAAAGGCAGGGATCACCTTGCGCCTCAGAGCTGGCGCAGTAGTATGTCACAGGAGACAAACGGCCAGATCAGACACCACCCATCTGCTTCGGTGGAGGCCTTTGTGTCGTCTTCATCGCCCTCGTCTTGTTTCCTCCCACACGTTTAAACGCGATAGCTCAATCACACTCGGCACAAAAGGCCCTTATGTGTTGTAAAAACCCCCTCGAATCACTGACATGCCACCTGCGCTGCGTCCCGCACCGGACACAAAGGTTTCTGGGAGGCGTTCCCACCTACAGTGGCCCACACACACTTTCACAAAGGCCGAAATGAAATATGCACGCAGCACAAAGGCCAGAGAGAGAGAAGGAGAGCGCACACCTTGGCACTGCGTTCGGTTATTGCCTTTGATGTCACACTAACTGTGTCCTGGGAAATCCATGCATGGGGCTGGGATCTTCTTTTCAGCTCTCAATTCACTTTTACTCAACACGTATTCAGATGGGATACAGACAGAAAGCCCTTTAAAGTCTTCAAAACAGGTCTTTGAACTTTTGTCAAACAGGACAGGTCTTTTACACTTCAACATGTCCTCCTGAGTTTTATTTTAGATGCTCTTTAATGTTCTTTGAATAGTAAGGGTAAATATGCACGGGCAGCAAATACTAGGCACTTCAAAGTGGTAACATATAATTACAGCACATTAGTTGATTTGCTGGTGGCGTGCATGTCTCTGTGTTGTTTTGATGTGTATGTGGGAAATCTTAGGCGAGAGAATGGCAAAAACACTGATTTAACAAGAAACTTCCAAGAGAATTTAAAGCATATTGTTTTTGTTTTTTTCTTCACATCTGCTCTGTTCCAAAGTCTAGTGAGCTGCTTCACTGCCTACTATGTAGAGGGCATCCTAAGCATCAAACTTCACAAGTGGCTTATTTGTAATGTTCTATGTAGAAAGAAACTCATGTGGTCAGTTATTTTTTTTTTTATGTTTTTG